TGCGCTGCTGGGGCGAGGAGGCCCAGGGCACCTACCGGCTGACCATCCGTGACGTGGGTGAGTCTCCTGTCCCTCCGCCTGAGCAGTGGGGAAGCGGGGGGGTGTCTCCCTCATGCTCTGAGCCCCCCCCCTCGCCGCCTCCTCCTCCTCCTCCAGGCGACCAGGCGCTGAGGGCAGGCAGGCTGGACCAGTGGCAGCTGACCCTCTACGGCTCCTCATGGGCCCCTCCGCAGATCCAGGAGCGGCAGAGGTGAGAGGGGGCTCTGGGGCAGGCCGAGGGGGTGGGGGGGGCTCGGGGAGTGGGCCTTGCCCCTCCCCAGGCCCAGCACCAGCTGTGCAATGCCTGGGCCAACCAGGAGGGGGCCGTTCTGGCCAGGGCCTGTTTTGCCCTCCAGCAACTCCTCTGGCACGATGGGCGTAAAATGGGGCTTCTTGGTGTGGCTTGCTGAAGGCGGGACTTCCTGGCGGGGGGGGCAGGAGGGGGCCCTTGTCCCTATGGTGATCAGTCTCCCCCCCCCCCCCACAGGCTGCTGGAGAAGGCGATGAGCGGGCAGTTCCTGGACGGGGGCTTCGCCTTGCCCTGCCCCCCCGGCCTCCGGATCCCCGAGCAGCAGCCCTATGTCCCCACAGCCAACACCCTCAAGGTGACCACGCCCTTCCCGCTGGGCAGGGGGTGGGGGGAGACCCCCACCTGGCCTGAGCCTCTGCTGCTCCCTCTCCCCCCCAGACCCTGATGCTGCTGGGGTGCTTTGCCGTCTTCTGGACCTTCTACTACCTGCTGGAAGGGCTGCTGACCTGCGACATCGCAGCCTTTGACCTGCCAGGCCACAGCAGCCGCCGGGCCTCCAGGGGCCCCGAAGGAGGAGCTCTGATGGAGGACGCGGTGCCCCTGTGCAAGGAAGCCGAGGCCGGAGCCCAGCAACCGTCCCTGGGCAGGCGAGACCTGGAGGAGGGCTGGGGATCTGCAGGCCCCCACTGGGGAGAGGACTGCTAAACCTCCTGGAGCAGGAGCAGTCTACCTCTGCCGTGGCTTGCTGAGCATGCTAGGCCTGCCTCTCTCTGCTCTGTGCTTCAAATATCAGCTGAGAGGGCCCCCCCCCCCCAGGCAGCCCCAGAGAAGCAGCTTGGCTTTTCTCTTTGCCCCCCGAGGGAGGGACTTCCGGCGTGGGGGGGGGGGCAGTGAGAGCCGTTCCAGCCCAAGGACAGGAGGCCCCGTGGCCTGCAGAGGTAGGTGAGGGGCTGCTGAAGGCTGGAAGGGGGCTGGGGCCGTGACCCAGGGCTCCTCCTTGGCCCACGGCCTGGCAGGTCCCGGTTCTGCCAACCCACTGCCTTATCTTGCACCCTGCGCCAGCTGGCTGTGCCGGCTGCCTCCTGTGCTCGCCTGAGGCACTGGGAGCCTGCTTGGGGTGCCCTGGATTGGGCCTGACCCCCCCCCCCCCGTGGGTCTTTCTGGGCCCTTGCCTTCCTCTCCCAGGGACGCCCGCCAGCTGGACGACTTGTTTTTGTTTTCCTGGCTTTGGACGAGCAGCAGCCGCCAGAATTCTTCTTTTGCGCTTTTCCAAAATAAACGGTTGTTGAAAATCCAGCCCTGCTGCTGCTGCTGCTGCTCTCTCTGTGCACCAGGAGCCGCCCCGTCCTCCCCTCCCCCTCTTCCTGGGGGGGCTGGAAAGGGGCTTTGGGCCACCTCTAGCTCGCCCTCGACTGGCCCGGCAGTGTCCCTTCCTCTGCTGAGCGGGGGGGCTGGGCAGCCTTTGGCCTGGTTTGCCACACTCTGTCGGTCCAGCGGAGGAGAAGAAACTCAAATCGTAGCCAAGGAACCTAAAATACTCAGTTTTTAATCTAATGAATAACCCCAAAAAAGTACAAAAGAGTAGCTTTGTTCTGCGCCCCTGGCGGACTGTCAGGAGGGGCTCCTTGGACAACTTCAGCCAAGTTCGGTTCTGCGGTTGGGAGAAGCCTTCCGGCAGCCCCAGGGGGCGTGCCGGGGCCAAAGCAGGCCGGGAGGGTTGTGCGGTGGCTGGGTGAAGCGGGCAGCATGCAGAGGCCAGTGGCTCCGGAGCAGCTTGGCTGCCTGGCCGGCCCGTTGCTACGCAGCAGCAGCAGCAGCACAAGTCTTTGGGCACGGTGCCCCTTCCGGGAGCTGCTTAGGGGGCAGAGTGGGGAAATTCCCTGTGGAGACCCCTGGCGGCGGCAGTGGGGCAGAGCTTGCCAGGCTGTTAGCGAGAGCGGGAAGACCGGCCAGCTGGGGGGGGGGCAGCAGAGAAGCTGGACTGGGCTTAGCTGATGATTTGCCGGGGTCGCCCGTAGCCCGTCATGCCCGCCTGCGATGCCCCTTTGTTGGAGCCCATCTGTAAGCCGATCACGTTCTTGCCCTCCTTCAGCTGGCTGTCGGAGAAGTCCCGCTTGTTCTCCTGGGACTTCCTGGGGAGGGAAAAGGCGTTGGCCACGCTCCCTGGCAAGCCCTCGTGCTGTGCCCGGCTTTCCCTGGAGGCAGCCTCTGCCCCGGCTCCCCAGGAGGCAGAGACAGCCGGCCTTGGGCTCATCTGACGCCACTTACTTCATGAACCACGAGGGGTCCCCCTGGTAATGTCCATCGTTCTTGGTCACGGCCAGGTTGCCCAAGGCCATGAGGGTCCGCTGGACGGCTGCCATGTCCTTGGCTGGAGGGAAAAGCGGAGCTGGGCTGAGGACAGAGCCCCACTTGGGACAGTCCACCCCCCACCGCCCTAGTCTGACCAAGAAAGGGTTCCCCCCCTCATCTCCTCTGCACACGATGGGCTCCCGCCTGGCCCAGCCTTTCTGGGACAAGGAGGCGACTGCGAATTCTGGCTCTGGAGCAATGGCACACGCTGCCCCCCGCCCCCGAGATCGCAGCCCCCCCCCCCACCTTCAAAGAGATCGACTGTCTGGAACATGTCTGTCTTCACCACTCCGTAATCCTCGGCCGCCTTCAGGAAGTGGGAGATCTGCTCCATCTGCTTGAAGACCATGGTGGGGGGCGGATCTGGGATCTTCACAGGCTTGGAGCCGCTGGGGTAGAGGCTGTTGATGAGCTTCCCGAGGATCTGCCGAGGGAGAAGGCCGCCTGCAACTCCCGCCAGGGCTGGGCCTGGCCACCACGCCCGTCCCCCCCTGAGGAGCCCCAACACTCACCATGCCATTCTTCAGCCAGACTTGGAAGCCCAGCCTCCCTCGCTCGGGACGCCCCACCTCGGCCCCACACTGGGCCACCACCCACTCGACCAGGCGCTCCTCCAGCTCGTCATCGTACTTCTTCTCGATCTTGGCCTGGACATCCCTGCTCAGCCCAAAGGAGGGGCCCTTGTTCGCCATGTCCGCAGGACGGTCTGGGGGAGGCAGCAGGCGAGGAGACGGAGGCAGCTGGGCTGCTCTGCCGGCGGTTGCAAAACACCAGGAGGGAAGGCAGGCAAGACGATGGGCGGCCACTCGGGCTCCCATCGGTCCTCCCCCCCCCCCGAGGCCCCCCCCCCCAGGGCTGCCAGGCAGGGTGGGGCACAAGGAAGCCAAACCGCCTGCCTCGCCTGCCCACTTCCTCTGGCTCCATTCCACCCAGATGTTTCACAAGGGCTGCTCCAGGCCAGCCGTTCAGTCGGCTCCCCTGTCAGTCAGCTGAAGCAGACACAGTTGGACGACCTCTCCCCACCCCCACCCCACCCCCCGCACCCCACAATCACACCTTTTGGCACCTTTTCCTAATCTGGCAGCAACAAAAGGAGGCGGATCCGTGCCAAGACCCTGCTGTCTTCTTTGTGCCCCACTTCCAAGCTGCCCCCTCGCCCGTCCTTCAGGCGAGGAGGCTGGCGCTGGTTCAGAGGGCTGCGCAGCCCCAGGCAAGCGGGGGTGGGTGGGGGGCGCTTCCAGATCCAGCCCAGGCGGGGGTGGAAGCAGGTGTTGCCCAGTCCAGCTGTCCTCATGCACAAACCGGAAACAAGGGGCACACCCCTGCCCTCCTCCATGCACCCAGCCCGGCTGCCCTCGAGCCTCCAGTCCAGGACGAAATCTCCAGGCGCTGCCAGCCCCACCCTGGGCCCCTTGAGAAAACACCAGGGAGGTGGTGGCCGCTTGGCAAATGTTGCTCCCCCCCCCCCCGTTCTCGGGCTTCTGTTCATAGGCCCCATTTCCCCAAAGCCTCCGTCGCCTCCCCCCCGCCCCCCCCCGGACCCTCTGCCCTCCTTCACCTGCCTACCAAGGCCGTGTTTCCCAGCGGTTCTGCTGCTTCCTCCCCCGCCCAGGCACCCACTCAGTTGGGACCAGGGAAGCGTTGATCAGCTTTTCACTGCAGCCTTGGCTTCCACCCCCCCTTCCGGATGGCCTCCCAGCCCACCCCCCAGCGAAGCAAGGGCTCCAGACCCCCCCAAGGCGGCTCCTGCCGGATGGGCTGGGGAGGCACTTACAGCTGTGGAGACTCCCGAGATGCTGCTCTGCCAGGACTGGGCAGCCCCAGGCGAGGGGCTAAAAGGCTCCGGCCCTCCGGCCCGTGACATCACCGCCCCTCCCCCTCCTCAGCGGCTGAAGCTGCGCACCATATTTGGGGAAAGACTCCAAAGTCGAGCAGAGTTCTTGCCTGGAGACATTCTCGGCATGCCTGAGTCCCAGCGGATGCTCCTCGGCCTGGGCTGGCCCCGCACAGCCTCTCCTTTTTAGGCAGAGCTCTCCCCAGCCAGACCGGCCAGCCCTGACCTCACGCCTGCCTCCTGGATGAGGTCACTCAGGAGGCGTTTCGGGGTGCAGAGGGGAGGGAGGGAGGGCCCCCCAGGGCAGCAACTGGGGCTCTACCACGGCCCCCCCCCCCCCCCAAGACAAGGTGGGCCCTCCTGCCTGGCAGACAGAGAGGAACTGGGGGCTGAGCCGATGTCCCTGAGGGGAGCCTGTGCTTGAGGGATGCCCACCCCCCCACCCCCAGCCTCCACATCCAATGAAAACCAGGCCAGGCCAGGCCAGCTTTTATCGCAGCAGCTGCAGAGACCAAAATGCCAATTTTCTTCAACAGTGGTTTATACCAAGAACCATTTTTCCAGGAAAACCATCTTAGCCACAATCCAAAACCAGGAAGGGACAAACACGGAGGGAAGGCCCGATCTTTGAGTGGGGAAAGAGGAGCACTCGCCCCCCTGCAATGGCCCTTCGGATCTTCTCCTGCCCCCCTGCACCCTGGGGACTACCTGCAGAAGCCCCCCCGAACCCGGGCTGCCTTGCTTGGGGGCCAAGACTCGGGAGGCCCCCCAGGGGCCGCTCAGCTGCAGAGGGGATCCACTGGCTTGCTTTCCCCTCCATTGGCAGTGACCGCATGGCACCCAGTGGGCAGCAGCAGCAGGAGGAAGAGGAGGAGGAGGAGGCAGCCACTGCCCGGACAATACGGCGGCTGCTGCCGGTGGGCTTGGGGGTGGGTAGGCCCTTTTGGAGGTCAATGCAGGCACCAAGGAAGGGAGCCGAGTCAGTCTCCAAGGGCTGCCCCACTGAAGGGGAGCCCAGCTGTTCCGCTTGCAGCCTCTCCCCAAAGTTGCAGGCAATGCAGAGGCCACCCTGCCGGCACTGGAGCCCTTCACCCTGGCTGGCTCGGCCCTCGGAGGCTCCTTCTCCTTCCGCAGACTGACTCTGGAGGCACTGGTGAGGGGGGGGCCCACAGCTGCGGCCCCAGCACCCGCCAGCAGGAGCCCCGTCCGGTGAGCCACGCCGGCCTCCCTGCCATGGAGTCTCCGGGCTCCTCAGAAGACATAAATCTTGTCACGCTGGACGCAGTCGAGGTCCTCATCCAAAGTCAGCAGGACCTGCGCAAAGAGATGGCGCCATCAGTTGCCTCTGGAGGGGGAGGCGGGGGGGTCAATGCTGGGCAGCCCCCACGCTTCGATCTGGACACCCTATGAGCCCCCCCCCCGAGCATGTCTCCAACAGCACTGCCCCCCTTGCCCGCCCCCCCCCGGCTCTGGCCAAGTGGTGTCCCACTCCGGAGCGCTCGGCTACTTGACCCCAGGGCCGCTTCCTCCGTGTGGCCACCTCCCTCAAAGGTTCCTGCCTAAAGCACCCGAGGGGCCTCCAGGCCTGCGATGGCCCAGGAAAGAGACCAGGCTCTGGGCTGGGGGGCAGGATCTGTGCCCCACCCCCGGCTGGGAAAGGGGCTGGAAATGCCAGTCTCAGGCCCAGGCTCTGGGCTCAAAACTGCCCCCCACTCCCTGGGGGAGGAGACCAGCCCCACAGCACCAGGGAAGGGGCCCTCCAGCTCTGGCCCAGCCAAGCCGGCTGGAGAGGCGTACCAGGAAGGAGCCAAACATGGCGATGGAGGAGAGGAAGTGCCAGACATCGTGGTCGTCAAAGAAGCCCAGCAGGACACACTCGCGGTTGTGCTCTCGAGACTCGGCCGGGGTTTTCTGTGCAGGGCAGTGAGCAGCTGGGATCAAGATGGGCGGCAGGCTGGAGGAGCCCCCTCCCAACTGACGGGGGGGGTCAGACCAAGCCCCCCGAGGAGGAAGCCCAGCTCTGCCTTGCCCGGGCCCCCAGCCCCCCACGGTGGCCGAGAGAGGCTGCAACTGTGCCCTCCCCGGCCCGGGTGGGCTCACCTGCCAGGTGCTGAGGCCCTGGAAGAAGAAGAAGAGGGCAAAGCCCCACACCACGGAGGTGAAGACGATGCAGAGCAGCGAGACCGGCAGCAGGCGCTCCCCACTCCGGAGCTGCAGGGAAGGGACGGGTCAGGGGGGCCATTGGGGGGCTGTCCGGGGAGGCCCCACCCCCGGCCAGAGGGAGGAGGCACCTTCATGATGATGTAGAAGGCGAAGTAAAGGAGCAGGTTGCAGATCCCGATGGCCAGGAGGTAGGAGGCGAAGTCGTTGGGGCGCATGATCAGCCCGTAGGCTGCCCTGGGGGGAGGAAGGGGGTCGCTGAGGCCCCAAAGCAGCCTCAAGACCCTCCCCTAAAGCGGCTCTTTGAGCCCCAGGCCTTCTCTGGCCCAGTGGGGGGGGGGCGGCTGCTCTCACTCACAGAGACCAGTTGATGAGGTTCCCCATGACCAGCAGCACCATCCGATCCTGTGGACAGAAGCAACCGGGGGGCGGGGGGGGGGTTTGGTGAGGCCTCCAGGAATTGAGGTTCTTTAACCAGGAGCACCCAGAAGAGGGAGGGGCCGCCCCCCCCCTCTCACCATGTACATGGGCCCGCTGCACTGCCGGATGCAGTCGGTGTACAGCACGTGGAAGATCCGGCGCCAGGTGCCAGAATCTGGGGGGAGAGTGAGAGCTGAAGGCCCCCAGAGAGGGTGGGGGGGCCCTTGCACCCCGGCTGGCATTGGCAGCCCCCCTCGAGGGCAGAGCTCACAGGTGGGGACCCCCCGACTGCACCCGCTCACCCAGTTTCCAGCGGCCCATGTAGTACAGCTGGGTGCTGAGCAGAAGCGTGGCGAGGATGTGGATGACCGAGAAAACGATCCAGAAGGCCGTGTTGCCTTTGCCGAAGACCTGGGGGGTGGGGTCAGAGGGCCCTTCAGTGGCAGGGGCCTGAAAGGGGCCGGGGGGAGGGGGGTCTCTCCCCTCGAATGCTCCTCCTCCCGTGGGTCTGTGTGTGTGTGTGTGTGAGAGAGAGAGATCGCAGGGGAGACCTAGTTCCTGCCCAGCTCAGCACTTTTCGGGGCTCCTCCTCTCGGGAGAAGCTGGCGCTCCCCTGCAATCTTGGGGGCTCCCGGCACCTTCCTCCCCCCTCAAAGGATTAACGCCCCGGGGGGGGTCTGTGCTCACTCACCACCCCCACGACCGAGAAGAAGATGATGACGGCCAGGCAGGCGTAGGCGCTGTAGGCGCTGGCGTTGATGTCCGGGTGCCTCTTCTGGTACAGCTTCAGCATGCAGAGCCCGGCAATCATGTACATGAAGGAGGTGTCTGCCACCCAAGAGCCACCGCTGAGCCTGGGGCGAGGCCAGGGGGAGACAGGGGCCCCTCCTCAGGCCGCCCCCCCCCGGGGACCAGGCGGGGAGCCACTCACCAAACTGGAAGTTGGTGTAGTTGGGGCAGACATGGTAGCAGGCGCTCAGCAGGCCCTCCATCATGAGGGCGGTGCCCATGGCGTAGAAGAGGCCGAAGTGTTTGGGGATGCCGCACTCCTGCAAAGAGACCCCCCCCATCTGAGAAAGGAGCCCCTCCCCCCTCGTGGGTGGGGTGGGGGCGCTGCTCACCACAGCCTGGAAGTCGTTGCGCATCAAGGCCCGGTTGTAGCTGATCTCGCGCTGCAGGATGATGAGCAGGAAGAGGAGGCCGAGGAGAACGTAGCCCAGGTTGCTCAGGATGTTGTTGAAGGCGCTGGAGAGGCAGGAGGGGCGGCGTCAGGCCCCGGGGCCCTGGGGGGGTGGGGCAGGGCAGGGGCCCCCCTCCCAGCTCCTACCTGAGGTTGCTCAGAGGGTGGGCGCAGAGGAAGTTGTAGTAGCAGATGTCCTGGTTCCCAGTCACGTTCACCACCTGCAGGGGGCAAGGGAGGCTCTGGCCAGGGGCTCGGGGGTGGGGGTGGGGGCTTGAGCCAAGGGGGGCCAGCGCTGCCAGGGGAAGGCCGGGGGTTGCGTTACCGTCTGGTAGGTGATGACCAGCTGGACGACCGGCAGGGCGTAGAAGACAGCGATGGTGGCAATATTCCTGTGGCAAAGGTGGGGGGGGGGGGGGGGGGCGGAGTCTCCATTAAAGGCCCTGGTGGGGGGCCCTGCGCAGGGGGGGGGGGGGGGGACTCTGGGGGGGACGCACAGCCAGCCTCCCCCCCCACTTCCTCACCAAAAGTAAATCTGGTATTTCTTCCGCAATACTCGCTTGTCTTTGCGGGCCAGATCTGCCACACAGAGGAACTTCTGAAAGACATACCAGCATCCCCTGGCTGAGCTTCGGCCTCGTGCGGGGGCACCCAGCCCGCTTGCCCCCCCCCGGAGACCTCCCCCGCGGAGCCCCAACCTGGCAGCGTCTCCAATGGGCGCCTCCCCTGCCGCCACCCAGAAGAGGCTCCTGCAGGTACTCAAACCACCCGTGACCTGCTCTTCCCTCAGGCCCAAATTTCACAGCCCTTCGGGGAGGCCCGAGGCCCCACTGCGTCCAGAGCCCTTCTCAGCCTGCTGACGCAGGATGTGCCCAGGCGCCGTGCGAGCTGCCCCCCCCCCCAGGCCCTGGAGGGTCTCCCCTCGGGACCCACAGCTCTCTTGCTCCCCCCAGGAGCTGTGCTTTTTGCTGGGCTTTGTGGCTGCAGCCCCCCCCCCGGGGGGTGGGGGGGCGGTGTTGGGCAGCGGGAGCAGCGCCCCGTCTCGGTCATCCTCCTAATCTCCGGGCATAGCCGCCCGCAGCTCCAGAGCTCCCCTGGGCAACCTTGGTGCGGATGACGTTCTTGTCCGACTCAATGTCGGCCAGCGTGTCGTAATCATCCTCCTCCACGGAGCTGAGCGAGTCAAGCCGAGGACGCCCCACCAGGTTCTCCAGGGAACGGTCTGCAGAAGACGGAAACCTGCATTACGGCGAAGGTTGGGGGCTCCGAAGGGGCCAGTCAGCCTGTGCCACCCAATTACCGATGGGACTGACTGGAGCCTGCTGGCAGTCGGCCTGCCTGGGCGCTGGAGTGGGCAGGAGGCCCGAGGAGAGACAGGGCCCAACAGCAGCCCCCCACCCCCCCAAGCACCCTCGCCCTGCTGATTGGAAGCCATGCAAACCATCGTGCAAACTGCCCCCCCGCCCCCCAAGCTTTCTGAGGGGCTGCATTTCCTCAAGTGCAGGCGGCTCAGAGGCCGGAGATCCAGGGGGCGGGAAGATGGGGCTCCCTCCCTGGCCACAGGGGCAGCCCCTCAGGAAGCCCCCATTCATTGAGGGAAAGGGGGGGGGCCTGGCCTCCCACCGCCGGTGCCCTTGCCAGCCAAGCAGCCCCTGGGCCAGGTCTGCCTATATCTGCCTTCCAAAGCTGTTCTGCAGCTGTTCCCTCTTCCCTGGAGGGCAGAAGCCCCCCCTCCCGACCCTTGAGGAAAGAGCCCGGAGCAGAGCATGTGCAGAGGACAGGCCTTGCCCCACTGACGGGAGGAAGGGATGCCCGTGGTCGCCCCCTATTCTTCCCAGTCACGGCCCACATTGTCAATACTTTGAAGGGGCTACTTCCTCCCTGCAGAGCCCCGGCTAGAGAGACCTGGCCCACCGCTGGCCGAGGGGAACCACCAGGCCAGACAAGGGGCACAGGGAGGGGAGGCCAGTCTCTCTACCCATTGCAAAGGCTGCCCAGTGTCTCTGCCGCTGCTGGCACATATCTTGCCCTTGAGGAGAAAGGAAAGAGTTACGCAAAGGGGGCCAAACCCGTCCAGCCAGGCCCATCATCCCGTTGGAGGGGCCCCACACACATGCAGGAGGCGGCCGGGCAAGAGGAAGCGCCCCGAGGGCCAGCATGCCAGCTACGCGCCTCACCCGCGTAATTGGAGGAGGCCTCCGTGGAAAGCAGGCTGTCCGTGACATTCTCGCTGCTGGCAGCCGACCCGGTGTCTGCTGGGGGGGGAGCAGGGGGGCCCCAGGTGAGTTGCCAGCCAGGTAGGGGGAAGAGCCACCTGCCGGGCCCAGGCGGCAGCAGAGGAAAGGGACCCCACCCCAACAGACAGGACCCCCCTCCTCTGTCTGGCTGGGGGGCTGGGACTCACCGAAGGACCCATAACAGTGACTGCCGAGAGGAGGGTGTCCCTGGAAGGGATCCGGGGGCTCATTCCCTGCAACAAAAGAGCCACAACCCAGCTTGAAAACGGGGAGCCCCGTCATGGACCCCGGGCCTGGTTGCCCTTGGACCGGCCAGCCCATCCGGAGGGGAGCTCCAAGAAGGGCAGCTCGGGTGGGGGAGGGGGGCTCTGCATCGGATCTCAGGGCCTGCCCGAGTGGAAGGGGGTTCTCCCCCGGCACAGGAAGCCAGAGGAGCAGAATGGGGCGGGGCTGAGTGCTTACCAAGGAGGGAAGCTTGGTGCGGAGCAGCATTCCGGAAGGAAGGAAGGAAGGAAGGAAGGAAGGAAGGAAGGAAGGAGCGAAAGGTGGATGGATGGAAGGAAGGAAAGAAGGAAGAAAGTAGGAAAAGAAGGAAAGAAGGAAGAAAGGAAAGAAAAAAGGAAGAATGGAAGGAGGGAAGGAAGGAAGGAAGAAAGGAAAGATGGAAGGAAGGAGGGAAAGATGAATGGAGGGAAGGAAGGAAGGAGGGAAAGATGAAAGGAAGGAAGGAAGAAATTGTTTATAACCTAAAGCAGCTGCCTAATGTGAGAGAGACGCAAGGCACCATCCTGAGACGGGGCTCTAAGCCTTCCAGTCTCTGCATGCCAGTTCCCAGCCCAAGACTATCCAAATCTAAGCGTGCCATCCGGTCACATGCACAACCAGCAACTGGGTCCTTGCAGCCCGCGGACCACATTTTCTGCATGTGGTGCGAACCCACCATGAATTGTGAAGCTGCCCGTGAGGCTGATTCAGCACTGGAGCTCCAGCAACTGAGGGCTGGTCCCTGCAAGAGTCAGACCCCAACTGGGCTTCAGCGGGCACCCTCGCCACTCCCCACCGGGACTCAGCAAAAGGCCTGCAGCTGCCACCCCGAGCAGAAGACGGACAGGAGGACAGGCCCCCTCCTGGCCGCAGCCGCCCCCCCCCCCGCCTACCTCGTACGCCCCCATCGGAACAGGGTGTGTCCACAGCACTCAGGAACTGGAGCTGCCGCTGCCTCCGCTTCTGACGCCTGTTGAACAAGGGACCCCCCCCTGAAAGGACGTGCAGATGCCTTCCCTGGAAGGCCCCCTCTGTGGGCCCAAGTCCCCCTCCTCCCGGGAAGAAGCGGGCCTTGGGTGGCATGAACGCTGCCGCCCTAAAGGCTCTCTTGCCCTGCCGTCCCAGTCAGCCCTGCCACCAAGGCAGGGCAGAGCCACCTCCTCGGCCGTGACCAAGCCTCCGCGGCCGAGAAAAAGGGGGCCCACGACAGCAAGGGGGGCAGGAGAGGCAGCGCCTACGCCGGGACAGGAGCCCCGATGGGCAGACTCACCGCCAGTTCTCCCAGCAGGCGATGAGCACCGTCAGGATGTAGAAGGACAAGAAGACGCCCAGGCAGAAGAGAATCCCATCCACGTAGGCCTCAGCTGCGGAGGAGCCGGAGAGACAACCTTGTGCAACTGGCAGGCCTGGCTAGGAAGCCCCCTCCCCTCCCTTGCAGCCTCTCGGCCGCTCTCAGCCGCTGCCCACAACTCCAAGGTTCCTGGAGGTTCAGCCCCGCCCGCCAGGCCCTGGGCTGCCTGCCCCTCGGGTCTACCAGGGAGCCAGCCCCAAGCCAGGAGGAGTCAGGCAGGCAGCTGCTCCCCTTCCTTCTCCACCGGGGGAAAGTGCGACCGAGGGGCTTGCTTACAACTGACAGCAGGGGTCACCACGACGTTCAAGGTTTTCTGACGGTTGCCTTGGTCTACAGGCTCATCTGGAAGGCACAAAAGCCTGGATCAACTCGCCTGGAGAAGACCCCAGTCGCAGGTCCCCTTCGCTGGCGACGGTGCAGAGCCTGGATCGCAGCCTGGTCCTGAGGGCCCCCCTTCCCTTCAACCAGCCCCCTTCCTTGCTAATCCCCAGGGGCTCCCTGGAGGCCCTCCAGCCCTGAGCTCAGGGGAGCTCAGGCAAGCCACCTTCTCGCCCCAGAGATGGGATGCTGGGCTGGCTGTAGAAGTGGAGGCCAGGAGGCAGAACGGCTCTGGACTTCCGGGGCCTCTCAAAACCCTTTCCAGGCTGGCCAGATGTTACAGCAGGCTGGACTGCCCGCCTGCCCCTCCAAGGCTCCCTGGTCTCATCCCCCTTATTCCGATTGGAATCGGGGAAGCAGCTCTGGCACACAGGCCGGATCCCCTCTGCCCCATGGGCTGGCTTCCCATCGTGCCTGGAGGCCTCCTGGCACCTCCTGCCAGTTAGCTGACGAGGCCTCCCTGACGGAGCTGAACCCATAAACAGACCTCAGTCCAGCTCTCCCCCTCCCCCCGATACCTTTGGAAAAAGGGTAGTAGTGTAAAGGCCCCCCACAAGCTTCGTCTTCGGTCTTCACTACCACGACCACGTAGAAACTGTGGCTGGGGAAATCCTTCTTCTGCGAAGAACCAAAGAATGGAGAAAATCTCTGACTGAAGATCAGAAATAAGGCTGATCTTCAGACCCCCCACTGGGCAGCTGGAGGCTCCTTGTTTGCCCCTCAGATGCCCTGGTTTCTACTACCTAGCCCTTGTGTTACACTTGACACCCAGGCGGACCCCCCCGAGACCTGAATTTGTGGTTCAAGGTGGCTCCTTCAGAAGCCAAGACAAGATGGGCCGCTCAGGCCAACCGATACCAGCACCAATGCCGGCTAATTGATGCCCGTGATATCCCAGGTAATAGGAGGGCTGACCCAGGTCCGACTGGCAAAGGTCCCGGCCAATCAGTTGTACCTGCACTGTGATGGCTGCCTTCTTGGTCATGGTCTGGTAGGTGCCAATGAAAGCCACGTTGTTGTCCAGGTCGTAGACGGGACACTGGGCAGCAGGAAAGCAAGCAAGCAAGGGGCAATCAGCTTCTTGGGCCAAAGGAGGCCTGGAGCCTCCTGTGCCCTATAAGCAACCCCCCCCCACCTCACTGACCAGAATGTCCTGGACGGAAATGACCGAACAAGGAAAGGCTGTGGATGATGTCACTTTAATGATGGCAGAGTCCACCCCCTCCGGGAACTCGTACTTGAAGTACTGTGGGTCAAGGAAAGAGAGGAGAACCAGGACCTTGGCTGGTGACCCCTTCCTTGCTGGGTCTTCTCCGCCTGCCAGCTGTGGCGGCTCCCTGGGGGCCCTTCTTGAGGCTGGGAAGCTTCTTTGGGCACCTCATCAGGGAAGCCAGGCAACCAGACGGCCTCCTCTTGCCTGGGAACCCCCAGCGGGTGCTGCAGGGCAGCAGCAGAATCCCAGCAAAGGGGCTGCAACTGGGCAGGCGGGGGGAGGGGCACCCTCAGGTCCTGCCTGACCCCTGGCCTGAGGACCACGGAAAGGCCTGTCCAAGCGCTGGGGTGAGATGGACACAACCTCCAGTCAACTGTCCCCGTTTGACAGCCAGGCCCAGAACTCAGAGGTGCCCAAGGCTTGGCTGGGGGTGGGTGGGGGTCTTCTTCCCATCCAGGCAACCCCCCCGCCCACTGGGCAACCTACCTGTGGCTGGGCTGCTGTGGCGTTGAAAGTGAAGGGCTCACCTGTCCTGCAGGAAGAAAGACCAGCAGGGGCAGCGGTTGGGGCGGGCAGGGCTGCCAAAGAGGGGTCCCACTGACCGCCTGCCCCTTGGCTTGGAGACCCCACCGGGAAGAGAAGCGGCTGCTGCTGCTCCCTGGCTGGCCCGCCGGGCGTTTTGCATGCAGGGCTTCTGGGGCACCGCCAGCCCGGCTCACCTGAGTACAAAATTCTCCACGCGGGAGACGCGCAGCTGGTAAGAGGCGTTGGTGGCCGAGAGGGTGGAGACGTCCACAAAGAAAAACTGGGTCTCCACCTCGCTCTTGGTTGGCGGCTGGCACAGAGTGCGGCTGACATCTTGGTACCGGTACTTCCTCTGGAACCTGCGGGCGGGGCGGGGAGGTGGGCATGGGGGGGGGCGGGCACCGAGCGCTGGGGGCTCCCGCAAAGCAGCCGCCTTCCCTCCTTTCCTGAGGGGCAGCTGGAGGGCCAGGCGGGCCCGTCCCGTCGGAGGAGCCCCGGCAGGGCGGGGAGGGCAGGATACTCACAGGCCCCGGAGGATTAAGGGCACTTGGAAGGAGACCACCGCCTCCTTCTGCCGCACCACGAAGAGCACCGGCCTCTCCTTCTGCTCGGACAGCACGTTCACCGACACCCGGACGCCCTCCGTCTGCGGGGCGACGAGAGGGACTCAGGCCCAGCCGCCCCGGCCAAGGGACCCCCGGCCGCGGGGCCCGGCAGGCAGGCAGGCGGAGCCGAGCACCGCTCCCGGCGCCAGCTGGCAGGCGCGGGGCAAAGGTCGGAGCGGCCGGCCGGAGAGAGCGAAAGGGGCCTCGCCTCGCGGGCGACTCCCGCTCCCGGGGCCGGGCTCCCTCTTCTGGAGGCGTCGCCGCCGCCGCCGCTTCCTGCCGGCCGAGGTGCCAGCGCGTCGGGCGGGCCCGGGCGGAGGCGGCCACGCGAGGCCCGGATTGAGCGCCGGGGCCGGGCAGAGGGGGCGGCGGACTGGCCGGGCGGCGGCGGCGGCGGTTCCTCACCCGGTTCCGCGAGACGCTGTGGTTGAAGGCGTAGATGTTGAGCAGCTGCTCGTTCACGGCGTCGCCGTAGAGCTGCTCGAAGGCCGCCTCCTTCTGCACCACGCGCTTCTCGGCCGGCCCGGCCGCGGCCCCGGCGGGCAGCAGCAACGGCAGCAGCGGCAGCAGCAGCGGCGCCCTCAGCATGGCCGGCGGGCGGCGGGGGCGACAGCCGCGGGGACGGGCGCTCCGCTCGTCTGGGCGGCGCCGCCGAGGCCGCGTCCTTTAAAGGGGAGGCGGGCGAGGGCGGGCCGCGGCGCCGGCGGAGGTGGGGCGGCCGACCTGCCCGCCCCAGCCAGACGGAGCGGCGCGCTCGGGAGGCCGGCGGATGGGTCGCCGCGAAAAGTCCCCCCCCCCCCCCCCAAAGAGACGCTGACAAGGCCGTGGATGGAACATGGATCTTTATATGGAAACACGCACTGAACCAACGAGCTCTGCCGGTCGTCCCGGCCGCTTAGCCAGAGCAGATGCATCCCCGCGGCGCTCGGAAGCCACTGATGGGGGCGGGGGGGGGGGCTGAGCGACCGCTGCCCCCCAAAGGAAAGGCAGGCCTCTCCCCTCCGCCAGCCCCTTCCCACCTGCAGGTTACCTAAGGCCACGGGGACCCTGCCTCCATCTACACTCCCCCCACCTGCTGCAATAAATAGGGAGCAGGCCATGCTCGTACAACACAGGACAGACAAGATTCGGGGTGCAATACACACTGGCAAACAGGAGCAAGATGAGGGGGGACTCCCAGGAAAAGCCCAAGAGGAGGAGGAGGAGGCTGGTTATATAAGCAAGTGGTGCTCCAGGGCGGCAGCCGATGAGCCAAGCTGAATCCTCAAGGAACGTGAGGGGCAGGACCTCCGTGGGGTGTCCGGAAGCAGCAGATTGCTGGCTCCAGGGACCTCCAGGGGACTCTGGTGAGGCTGCCAATCCCAGGGGGGTTTCTTAGTGTTGCTGGCCACAGGCAGCTGGCAAAGGCCTGGGTGCAAGAGAAGCCACAGCTGGGAAGGGGCTCCCAATTGACCAAGCCAACTGCAAGCATCCGGCTGGGCGCATCTCTGCAGGAAGACGGGCCCTGCCCACTCAACCCCAAGGTGCCAACCCAGAGCACTTCAGGAGAAGCAGGTTCCCTCCGGGAATTCTTTGACAGAGCCAAAGCCTTGTGCTTTCGTCAAGCTGAAGCTTGTGCTAAGGGAGATGCAAGGGAAAAGATGGCCGGCTGGAAGACCTGCACGGTCAAGAGCTCATCCCTGAACCCAGAAGCCTTCTCGGAACCAGTCTAAAGCCAACTGGGGAAAGGGTGACCTCCCAGGGGCTGCAGCCGGGGCGGCCTACGGGGAAGGGGGGGGAGGGAAATTATCTGGGTGGTCACACACTGCATTCTCAGGGATCAAACCACGCTTGGGGAACTGGGGCAGCAATCCTTGCCCACCATTTGCCCGGGGAAAGAGGGGTGAAGTATCTTTCATCTTGCCTGCCTGCTTAGGGATAAAACCTTTCTCCCACAACCTCACGGACTATCTAAGACTGAAAGTTCTTCCCAGAAAAATCTCTCCCAAGTACAAGCTGAGGAGGCATTTATGCTTCAGAAACCTTTTCTAAAAACTTCTCACTGCACCAGGCCCAGAGAAAGAGGCTCCCCTTCACGGAGGGGCCTGTATTCTGGCCGACCTGCAATATCCTGGGCCTGCCTCACTTGCATGAGTCAAATACTTGTGCAAGCCTGACCCCAAAACAGAAAGGGAGGCCCTGGACTGCGAGGCTCAGGCCCTGCGAGACGGGAGAAGGGCGGGGGGGGGGGGGGGCTGCACTTGCGTTTTGCTCCCAAAAGGGAGCGTTCTGCAGCAACCTAGCGAGAAGCAGCCGCAGCCGCAGCGTCGGTTTAACCTGGATGGGAATGAGCAGACAGACTGCAAGGCCCTGGACGAGTTGAGTGTTGCACCAACACACCTCAGAGGCGAGTTTCTCTGATGCCCACCACCTCCCATTCTGTTCCCAGTAAGGGAATCGCATCCTTTTTAACCAAAGAAATGAAATAGCCAAGTTAACTGTGTTCACTCACTCAACACATAATTGTTCACATGTATCCAATTGTCACAGGTAGCTGTTTCCTGTTCTGGTTTGCCAGTTTGCCAAAGCAAGAAAGCAGCTAATATCACTTAAAACAAAAACCCAAATCCAGTAAATATAAAAACTCTTCAAACAATTCCAACTTTTCAGGAAGCAGCTACTGTTCAGTCCAGGGAGTGGAATGTGAATGCGACCAATGAGTTTAGGCCTTTCAGCGCTATGGACAGGCTGGACACGGAGGAGGCAGGAATGGGAAGGAGAGCCAGCAGGTCGCTGACCACCACGCTCGCCACGCCATGAGCGAGAAATGGCTCAGGGGAGGGACCTTGTTCCCCTTAGGAAGGCCAAGTGACGAAAGAGGCCCTGGGACATCTTTGGCCAGCCACCTCCCCGCCTCCCTTTCCAGTGCTAAACACAACACCCAGTAACATTCAACAATGGAAAGCACGCCGAGCGAGGATTCCGTAGTGCCATGGAAAAAAGAACCGGGCTGATGGCGCTGGGGCGGGGCGGGGCGGGGGGGTGGGGGCTGTCAGGCCAGAGTTGCCTGTTTCTCTTCTGGGGTTTCCTCCAGCAGCTGCATGATGAGTTCATGGAGGGGTTTGCAGATCCTTGTGTAGCCGGCACCCGTTAGGTGCAGGAAATCGAACATGTCGTGGCATGAAATGGTGCCATCCGAGTGCACGAAGCCTCCATCCACATCCAGCAGCTGGACTCCAGCCAGCTTTGGCAGGGAGGTCTTCAAGAGCTGGTTCACCTTGGAGTTCTTCTGCCGCAGAGGGTTCGGCTTCTCGCCTCGAGGGAGCAGGCCCTTGAACGAGGGAGGGGAAAACAGCAGGTTATCCCATCCTTGGGGAAAGCTCAGCCCCAACCCCGGGCCTAGCCTCACTCTGTCCGCTGTCTGGACACGGACACACACACAGGGCCTCTCTGGCAAGCTGAGACCTGGGTCCTTCCTTGTCTTTCAGAAGCATCCTAGATTTTAGTTCTGCATTTAACACAATTCTTCCACATTGACTAGTGTCTAAACTTCTGGACCTTGGGCTTTCTTATTCAGTCTGCCTTTGGATTATGGATTTCCTGTCTGGCCGCTCAGAGGGTCAGATTAGGTACATACCTCTTCAGCCCTTATTCTTAACACTGGTACACCACAGAGTTGCGTGTTGAGTCCCTTACTCTATACTCTTTATGTGCAAGACTGCATTCCCACTCACGCTAGTAATACTATTACTAAACTTGCAGATGATACAACAGTGGTGGGACTCATGGGGGGGGGGGGGGGAATAAGTCTGCCTACCGAGATGAGGTGGACCAACGGTTGCTTTCGTGGTGTGGAGACAGTAACTTGGTCCTCAACACCAATGAGGAGCTTATAGTGGACTATAGAAGGAACAGATCAGACATCCAGCCCTTGCTTATCAAATGGAGACCGAGTGGAGCAAGTAGCCAGTTTTAAGTTTCTGGGTGTTACCCTAAAAGAGGACCTGACCTGGGGGGCTCCCATTGCAGCCCTGGTCAAAAGGCCCCAGCAGAGGTTATATTATCTGAGACTTCTCAGGAGACAACTGGATGAAAAACTGCTGGTGACCTACCACCGCTACACCATAGAGAGTATCTTAACTTACTGCACCTGTGTATGGTTTGCCAATTGCACAGTGGCAGATAGGACAGCGCTCCAGAGGGTTAACACCATTGCCCAGAGGACCATTGGTTGCCCTCTCCCCTATTTGGAAGAGCTTTATAGCTCCTGCTGCCTTAAGAAAGTTCAAAACATCCTCAAAGATCCACCTCATCCTGGGCAGCCTTTTTTTGAACTATTACCATCTGGCAGACAGTACGGGACAATAATAAAAACAAGGACAAATAGGCTGAAAAACAGCTTCTATCCCAGGGCAGTAGCTCTTTTAAAGTCTACTGTATAGTGCAGTGTTGGTGTGGTATTGCGAGTTTTTGGTTCAATGTGTGGAGTATGAAGGATGTGTGTTTGTGTTTATTTTCATGGTCATGATGGACACTGAAAATGGTGTTTGATTTCATTGTACGAGGTGCAACGACAATAAACTAAACTAAACTAGTATCCCAAACTCCCACAGGTGCATTTTCAGTCTTTCCAAAATCAGTATATGAAGTATTATACTATCATCTGTCGCTCTTAAGTCAAGCTTTTTCAGGACCATCTCAGAGTTGCCTTTGTGAAATTATCCAGATGCTTACAAAAATCAAGCTGTCATAAACAATGATTAGCGATTGTCTGAGGCTTCCAGTTCCCTTCCTCAGCCAAGGTAATGCTTCTCCAAAGGATTTTCTGTAACAAAACCCAGCAGCCTACGCCAGTTCTTCTTGGGATGCTTCCCTTCCACCTGACTAAAAAAGAAACAAGAACATACAAATGCACCAAAGATGCCACTCTTACTTACCAAAACAATAATCTTAGCCTGAGGCTGCCGGGTATTGATCAGTCTCACGATGGCTTCTATTCCACCAGCTACTTCCTCTGCTGTGTTTTCATGGTTATTTGTTCCAACCCAAACAACGACGACCTGTGATTGAAGGACCAGAGACAAAATTTCCTCTGCATTACCCGGCTGCAGAGGAAAAGGAAACACTGCATGCTGCCCACATTTCAGTGCCCAGAGGACATGGCAGTCAGCAGCTTTCCGCTCCCTTGCCAGTCACAGATATCAATCAGACTGTGAATGTAATAGTTCTGAATTAAAATAACACAGAAACGCTTTGGGTATTACAAAACCTAGCAAAGGGCAGTCTGTGTGTGAGTTGCGGGGTGAGAGGGAGGAGAGAGGATGAAGAGAATATTACAGGAGGTTTCTTGTTCTTTCTCACTACAGGCACCCTACCTTGGGCTTAATATTTTCAAGTTCACCATTCTTCAGTCTCCACAAAACGTGTCCTGTAGTGTCTCCACCAATCCCAAAATTCAGTGCATGTAACGGTGAAAAAAGTTCTCGCCATATCTGCAATGATGAGTTTTAGGAATTATCCTTGAACAAAGGCAGGGGATTTCAGGAATAAATTATTGATATAGTTAAGCATTCAGAGGTTGATTGGATTTTATTCAGGCTGAAGCAAAAAGTCCATCCTGGGTCATCTGCAACCCAGATAAGGATGGGCAACACTTAAAGCATCTCCATCTGGAGGCTTGGAAATCATCCTTGGATGTCACCAAATTCTCTGGACTGGGAATGGAATTGGTTTGTCTTTGGAAAACCTCCCAAGCCCATTCCCACTATGGCACACAACTAACACTGCAAAAAACAACCAAATGATCGTGAGATCCAGCCACAATGCCGTCTCTGAGATTTTCAGGTGCTGCATTGTCCCCCAGGGCCAGATGTTGCCACCAAGGTGGCACCAGGTGTGCCCTAACTGCTTGGGCACCCTCCTCTTACAAAGGCTTGCCAATATGCCTTCAAGGTAAGAACCTTTTCCACATGACGGTCCACCAGTATTTGGCCTCATGAGCTTCCAGGAACAGCCTCCCTAAGGCGGCTTCGCTGGAGCGAGGGAGCCTTGGCCGGCTCTTCTCCAATCAGAACCACCCAAGCTTTTCCACTGGAGATCCAAGTTCATTCATGGAAATTTTACTGTTTATTCCTGCTCGATTTAAAGCTGAGGAACAGAAGAGGCGGAAGGCGGCTGCATGGTGGCGGAGGAGCAAGGGTGGGACATGAGGAGAAAGTCCCCTAAGGGGACGGGGGGGGGGGGGGGGGGCGCCCCCCCGGGGGGGGGGGGGGGGGGGAGGGAGCGCCGCCTACCTCGTATTGCTGCAGCAGCTGGACCATGGAGTCGCCCACGAACAGCACGTCGGGCTCCTTGTCCTTGCAGTCCAAGACGAACCGGTTGTGCTGCGGGGAAGGAGGCGAGCAGCGTGAAGCCACCGGCGGCTCCTCCGCTTCCCCGCACCGGCCCTCTCCCCCGGGCGACGGGCACGAAACGGGCGACCCGGCCCGCCCCGGGGGAGTTCCGGGAGGCGGCGAGGCTCACCTGGGACATCCACCGGTCGTCGCCCTGCACGTCTTCCGCGATGTGGGCCGTGGCCGCCGGGTTGGCGTCCCCCTGGCTCATCCGGTCCCTGCTGAGAGAGAGGAGGAGGAGGGGGGGCGTGGGCGGGGGGGCTCCCTCCGCCGCCCCGCCCGTCGCCATGGGAACCGGCCGCCCAGGCCCCGCCGCGCGGGAGGCTCGGCGGAAGCGGCCCGCAGGGGGTGCGCGTTCCCCGCCCGCCCCGCACTCACGCTGCCGGCGACTGCGACTGCCCCCGCGCCTCCATGGCGGCTCCTCGCCGACGATCCGCTCCGCCTGCTCGGCCTTCCCTCAGCCTCCCCGCCGCTCCGACGGGCGCGCCCCTCCCCCGCTCCGGCCGCCACACAACGCGCCTGCGCGATGACCTGCTTCCGCCCTCGCCGCAGCTCCGGCCGGAAGTCCCGCCCCCCCCGCTGCCTGGCGCCTCCCCGTTCTCCTCGCGGGCGCCCTCTTGGGGGCGGGGTCTCACCCGGTGACGTCAATCGGGCTCCAGGGGGCGCCCCCGAGCTGTCGGCCACGTGGATGTGGCGCCGCCGGGGGGGGTGGGGGGGCTCTGTGGCGGCCCCGTTGCTGAGCGAGGACCGGCGTCCGGACCGAGGCCCCGACGGGGGCTGAGTGGCACAGCCCGAGGAGATGGCTGTCGACGGTGGGATCGGGGCCTCGCCGGAGGTCATTAGTCCCAGTCGCCTGGAAGGGCGCATTCCTGCCAGGTCTTGGCCAGAGGCCGGCACCGCTTCCCGCCCCAGGAGAGCTCTGAAGCGGCCCCCGATGAGGCGCGTCCGCTCGTGCCCAAACGGCAGTGGGGAGCTGGGGGTGCAAATCAGAGGGAAGCCTTACTTCCCCACTGCCTGGTCCCGGTTCAGCACCCCAAAGCCTCCTGGCAACGAAGGATTTTCGTGGAATGGACAATAAATATTTGAAACCCACTAAGTTGGGTTACCCGACTTTGAAGATTTCTTAGGGATCTGAAATAACTGACATTTTACAATTGGAAACAGTGTAATGTTAACCATTGGATAATCATCAGTTTAAAGTCCCAAAGCAAAAATATGTTTAATTTTAGTTTTGTAAAAGAATTAGCTGTATAGTTGCCACACTCCCCCCCCCCCCTTTCCTATTAAGAGCATATTCTTTGGTGCTGATACCCTTCATGCACTTGCTGCTTAAAGAACCAAATTCCTTTCTCTTGATGCTTAGAGACTTGCGTGTTAACACCCTTGATCGTTCTCTGGCTGGGGCCTCTCTTCCTTTGCCAGAAGAGGTGCCCACCCTAAGTAGCTAAGAACCTGCTGCTTGTCACTGTAGCAATAATATTGAGAGCCAAAGATTTTCAAGCTGGAGATATCAGGGGTTTGAACAAGCCTTGCTCCAAGGCTGATAAGCTGTGGGAAAGGAAAGTGAAATATTTAGGGTTGGCGCAGGGAGTAGAAGATGAAACTACCCTCTTATTATAGCACAGGACATCAGCTACTCTCATGCCTTTCCCCCAAATAAAATGTCTTGTCTTGCCTTCCTATTGAATTTGACCCAGAGAAACTGAGGCCATTTGGTCTTCAACAATAATTCCTTGTTGGGCATTTTTGAGGTCACAGAACAAAACAAGGCACAGATGACTGAATCAAGGAAGGTGGTGGTGTAATGGAAATAGCCAAATAAAGCAACAGCACCAAATATGCTTTTTCACTTGAAACCCACAAAAGGTCAGGTTAGCCATCTAAGTATGAGAGTTCCTTCCTCCCCTCTAAGCAAGGATTACCCTTTGATTCTCTTTTCAACAGGTAACTCCACACCTGTTCTTTGATTTCAGAGGAGATGATGCTCCAGTGTTGTCACTGGCAACCACTGGGCTGCTGGAGACTAATTCAGCTGTTTCCCTAGGAAAAAGTTGGAAGGGAGCAGTCTTAGTAAAAGATGCAGGCCACAGATCTCTACATGGAGCAGACCCAACAGCCAGCTGCAGTCAAGCCCTTTAACTGGGAGTCATGCGCATCTCATGCAGCTTCTCCTTTTGATGTTGCCAACATGGTCCACATCTATAAACATTTGGACTGTCAAATTAATGAGTGGTCAACATTTGTGATGGATTAGAGCTGTCATTACCATGTATTAAGCTCTCAAATTCTGGAAGCACTGAGTAGCTTTTTCTGCGGCTGGGTCAAGATCATTTGGTAGCTATTAGTAGGAGAAACAATGATGAAGAAGAGGAACATAAAATGGAAAGTTATCTTCCTCTTTTCTTTTGAAGATCTGATTTAAAAAAAGACAGAAAAGGAGAAATGTGTTTATTTTGTGAATCACATTCTTACCTTTAAATTCTGCCTCCATCAGACCAGATCCTCTCTCTTCTCAAACACTCATACAAGGGGCAGGTTATCAACAGCCCTAGTGAAACAGTGATTAAATGCAGCACTGCAGGCAAACTGCCCACAGACTGAAGTCTGACCCAGAGTGGCTCAAGGTTGATTCAGACTTTTATCTTTCTGAGGATGGAAGGGTGTACTGTAAAGCACCGTGGTCCGTTATAGAAGTCTAAATGTTATTAATGTCGATGGCTATTTTATGAGATCTTAGGCAGGGTCCCCCAAATGGCTGTTCTTCTTCATCGAACAGGATCCAGTTGGGGATGGGACCTTACAATAACGGCATATGGAATATCTAATCTCAGTGCAGCTACACTTCTAAGGAGCTCAAATATGGAACTCCTCTTCCTCACACCTGTTGCTTGCAGAATGCCATAGGAGCCTTAGCTATGCTTCAGCAGGCAAAAAGCCAGCCTAGCCAACCTTCGGCGGCCAAAGAGACGCCTGGGGCCAGTTCCCAAGAACATGAAGCAACAGCAATTATCATTTGGCTGTGCTAGCAACTCACACCAAGACCTATTTTGCTTTTCCTGTTTGGTTAAAACATTACTACTTAATAAACCACCAACTACTGGAGTACCTCAGTGATGAGGAGGAAAACGTAATTTAAAATGCGCAAGCAGAAAAATTAACATCAACAATTATGATAAATCAGAGTCTGTTTATAATGTATATTTAAGGTCTTTTAAACAGCTAGCAAAGAGGCCAACTTCCTCAACTTTAGGGAGTGGATTTTAAGAACTGGGACACTGGAATACAGTACTGCAATTAATTTCCATTGTCAGCTGTATCCTTTATGAAGTTGCTCAGAACCTGGGATGTGTAAACTAGGTTTACCAGGTAAATACTTCAGATCTTAACTCTATGAATCCTAGCCAGCATGGCTACTGACAAGGTCCTGGGAGGGTTTTAGTCAAGAACTCTAGAGGGCACAAAGTAGTTCTTCCCAGCTCTTGCTGAGGAATCCCAGGTGGGAAGTCGCTTCTCAGTTGGAGTTTCCAGCTTCAATCCAGGGCGGCACAGTGCCTTCTGAGACCACAACCTAGTATTCTGACTCAGGTTTGTCCAAGCTTTTAAGACTGAGAGCAAATTGTTCTAGTCCGGAGGCCCTCTGAAAATCCACATCTATGGAAGATCAGGAACTTATTATTTCTGGTTGGGAGTCGTGAAGAATTCATCCAAATTCATCTAGCCTGCATCCACTGCAAACTTTCTGTGCTAATGCAAGGGCTCTCTTCCTACTTTCTTCACACAAGAACAATAGAGAGGTAGTTCCCACGATGTGCTGAAAAGTGCGGCTGCCACTGGCAACATTCTGCAGAAGAATCGAATGATAGCTGGCAGGAGTCCTCTTAATTCTACCTAAATGTTATTTTATAAACTGCTACCGGAGCTTTTCCATATTTATCGTACAACCGTTTCCTTTGCTTGGTTTAACCTCCCCTTTCAATTCATATGATTGATGACTGCATTCAGGGAGCTGCCAGGATCTTTATTTGGCTCGAAAAATGCCTCCTTAGGCATTGGCTCCATTTTCTGCCACGGGTTCCCTTTCTGAAAAAAAGCCGGGCGCTTCTTCCTCCTCGCCTGGCCTCGCTCGAGCGGCCTTCCTCCGTCCCGCTCCCGCCTGTCGTCGCCCGAGAGCGGCCGCTGGAGGCTGCCCGGCCCCCTCGTGCCTTTGCGGGCCGTTTTTCCTGCGACTGCCCAGCGCCCAAAGGCAGGTGGCTGAAGCCTCCCTCTGCCAGGGCGAGGCTGCCCGGCACCGACTTCGACTTGACGGTGCTGGAGGCCTCGGGCGTCTGCCTTGAACGGACCAAGCGGGCTGGGGGAAGGCTTTCCGGGAGCCTTTGGTCAGCCAGCAGGGTCAGCTCAGCGGCGGGCGAAGGCGGCCTTCGCGGAGGTCGCTGCTACACGGAGTCCGAGGCGGCTTGTGCCTTCGCGCGCGCCGTAGCGCTCTTCCGCAGGCCAATCAGGACGCTCGTGGCGGTGCTGACGTCCTCCCGCGTCACGACCGTCGCTGCCGGGCGCGCTCCTCCCCCGCCGGTTGCTATGGCGGCGGCGGCGACCCCGCCCCTGTGCGGATGAGCTCACGCGGTGCCGCAGCTCCGGGAGGAGGAGGAGGAGGAGGCGGCGGCGGCGGCGGCGGCGGGGGCGGCGGTGCGGGGGGAGGGTCGTCGTCGGCTCCTTCAGGGTAAGATGGCGGCGGCTGCGGTGTCCGGGGGGGCCCCGCTCGCGGCCCCGGGCCCCCGCCTGGCCCCGCCGCCCTCCGCGGGCCGCCCTCCGGGCCCCGCGCGCATCGGCTACTACGAGATCGAGCGCACCATCGGCAAGGGCAACTTCGCCGTCGTCAAGCTGGCCACGCACCTCGTCACTCGCGTCAAGGTGAGCCGGCGCGCCTGCCCCTCGGCTCCGCTCCGCCGCGCTACGCGAGTCCGAGGCCTCGCAGGCGGCCCGCCGGCCGGAGGGGGGAATCTAGCGGCGGAGCCCCGTCCGACCCCGGATCGGGAGGGCGGCCGCTGCGGCTGCGGAGTGCGCTCGGACGAGCAGGCCCCGCCGCGGCTCCCTCGCCGGCCGCGCTCTTCCGCCTTTGCCCGGGGATTCGCGTTCCCCGCCGAGGCCGAGGGGCGCCCCGGTCCTGAGGCGGCTCTCCGAAGCGCGCCTGGACCGGCGGGGACGCTTCCTTTGCCTTGACCTTCCGCGAGAGGCGGGGGGCTTCGCGGGGGGGGGTGTCTCGGCGGCATCTCCCCTGCCCCGGCCGCCTCCAGCCATCCCTGCCCGGAGAAGCGCCCGCTTTCCGCCCGCCTCCCAGGGCCTCTCTGCCGAGGGGAGCCGGGCGCCCGGCGGTTGCGGGAGGAGGGCCGGGGCCTGTGCCGGGTCTCCCGGGGCCCGGGAGGGGGCGAGCACTTGCCGGCGAGTTCCCGGTTCCGGATGCAGAGATGGTTTTGCCTTTGCCGGATCCTGTGGGCCAGGCGATCCAGGGTGAGCCTGGTGCAGACTTCCACTCCGGTCAGGGGAGCGTATCGGCTCCCTTAGCCGGCTCTCTCGCTGCTTGCCTTGGCCAGGGGCAGCGGGGAGCGGCTGCCCAATCTGGAGGGACCCGGCCGAACCAGCGGGTCTCCTGTGTGCGGAGGCTTTGCTTCTGTTCCGGGCAGGGAGCATCAGGCAAGGTCGCTGTTGTGATCCTAAGCTTGGAGGGACAGCCGAGGGAGCCTCTTCCCTCCTTTGATTCGATGGTGCCCGGACGGGGGCCTGGGAAGCCTGCTTGGCCTGGAACAGCTTCCCCCAGAGGTCCCCGTGGCTCCCCCCCCCCTCCCAGGGGGGAGCCCTTGTAGGGTGCAGTTGCGTTGGCTGTGGAGAGGGTGTCTTCTGGACATGCACGGTCTACTTTTTTTATTTGCTGTTGGTTTTGGTTACAGATCACTATTTTGTGGCGTCGACATTCTTGGAAGTTTACCTTGTAGTGATTCTTTTGTTATTTTGGGATGTATCTAGATTAGGGAAGCTTATTGGCTGAACACTCTTACAGTATTTTAAACCAGGTACTTGAATCAGAAAAAAAAAAATTTCTTCCTGTGTTTAGGATCCTTGGTAAAGAAATATAGTGGTTTGTGGGATCAGGGACATTGACTGGCCTCTGAAATGCATCCTGAACCTGATTAAGTTCTCCTCCTGAGTGGAGAGGAATCACTGCCTGTTAAAAGCCCGGCCCCCGATCCCTCTGAAAAATGGGCACTTCTCCAGACAGAAACTCTTCATTCTCTCCATTTCTTTGGTCCTTGAAGTTCACCTACGTTTCTGAAGGAGACCGTGATGAGCAAAGGTGGTTTAAGGAGGGTTTCTCTAGTTTCTGTGTTTGGTGGTCTTTACTGGGGTTGGTCCTGTAGTGCTTCAGAGAGCGCAGACTGGCTTCAAACACATGTGGAAACAAATGCATGACTGTTTACGTGTTCCACCAGAGAGTTTGGATGGTTCAGTGTGGGGTTAGATTTGGAGTAGGAAGGAGGTCATTATGGGGAACACCCCTCCCAAGGGCTTCTAACCACTCTGACAGGAATCCTGCCTGCAGCCTGGCTTAGCTGCCTCAGGTAGACAAGAAAGGTTTATGGGGCATTCTTTAGAAAGAACTGGAACCTTGGGACGTTCTTTGAAAAATGCACTTCAATTTTATAATAATGTTTTTTCAGTATTGAAAGTAGTAGAAGTTTATTTTATGTGTGTTATCTGAAATATTTTAGTATTTAATATCCTGTTCTTTGGAAGAAAGAACTTCCACAGTATCAACACAGGTTAATAAAAAGATGAGCCCTATTCTCCTTCTCAAAGTTCCAAAGACACCACAAAAAGGAGGAGGACTGGTATAATGATGAATTTGGAATTAGGTTTTAGCTTTCAGATTTTTGGAAATGTCTAACTATGATAAAGAGAATCATGAGAGAATCCAAAAGTTGCTTATCAAAACAGATGACTGTTTTATGAGACAAATATAGCAATTGGCACCAACCGTCAAAAGGGCTGCTGGCATTCAAGAGCCAGAGAGTGAGGATCTAAAGAAGCCGCCCTCCTCCTCCTCCTCCTCCTCCTCCTCCTCCCCCGCCACCCCACCCAGGGCTCCCTCCCTGTGTGCCCTGGCTCAGAGGCCAGAGTGCAGGCTTCCAAGGGTCCTGTGGTGGGGAGACAAGCAGAATGCCCCTGCCCCCGTTACCCTTGCCTGTTTGGCTGGTAAGTGGGTGTGCATGAAGGACCTCTTTCTTGGCTGGAGCCGTTCTGCTCTTTACCTGCCTTCTTCCAAAGGCCGAGTGAGTCTGATGTCCCTGCAGCGGACTTGTCCCTCCCTCCCTCCCTCCCTCCCAGTCATTTGGGAAAGGAGAGCAGAGTTTTCACATCCTTGAGATGAGCAGGAGAAAGATGTCGGCTCCAGGCACCCAGTGGCTGAAGTGGGAGAGCCTGCCCTTCAGGACCTTTCCCTTGGTGGCTTTGCACCTGCCAAAGAGTTTTGGTTTTGGTTTGGATAATTCTACCTGTTTTGTGGCTACTTTGCTGAAAGGACAGCCTGTCTGTCCGGGGAGCCTTTTGTAGGCCCTTCCAGGGAAAGCCCCCCCCCCCCCGGCTGAATCTGATCGGGCTTCTGCCTGCAGGGCCTCCTAAAAGGCCTCTCTAGGAGGGAGGCGTGCGGCGCATGCACCTGCTTGGCTGGTGGGCATGAACGGAGGCGGTCGTCCCCTCTGGCTCTTCTGCTCCTCCCGGGCGTGTCGGGGGGACTCTCGTGCCTCCTGAACCAGGCGCTCTGGCAGCCCCTTCAGGTGGCCCTTGGTTCCCGATCTGACCTCCTCTGCCTGCTGAAGACCCTCTGCTGTCCAGTCCTGCGGAGGATCTTTCTGCCCTGGATTAGAAGCCCCCTTCTTTAGCCGCACTCCTGGGGCTTGTGGTTTCGCCAGGAATCTGGATAGGTTTGCAAGGGAATCTCTGTAGAGGAGGAGGAGGAGGAGGAGGAAGCTTACATGGATGGGGAAAGAAGCAGAGAGCGGCTGCCAGCTTCTTCACTCAGTGATTCCCTGGGTGCTTTTTGAGTGATGGAAGGATGTATTAAATACATTTTGGCTATTAACTACTTTATCTGGGCTCTGAATAATTTTTTAGCTCAAAGAATGTTGTGGGTATAAGTATTCTCTGTAAGTGCTAAATCTATCCAGCGCAATTCAGTTGATGGAACAGCTCCTACTTTTTACCCGAGGACCCTGAAAACTGTGGTGTAAAGTTATAAGCCGCTGATGAGAGGCGGCTGAAGGTTCTCTGGAGGAGCCTATCATCTTCACTGGCATGGCGAGAAGAGGCTCAGCACCATGCTTAGCCTTCCTGATAACAACCAAGATGGCGAGCATCCTGAAATCTCCGTGATCGTCAGCGGTTGTTATTGTCCTCCACAGAACAAGAGCGATATTGAACGTTTTCACCAAGACTAAGTAAAAACCAAAAGGCACTTCAGCTAGGGTTCAGTATCAGTTCACCAGGTCTAGGCTGCAGTCCTGGGATTTCCCAGTAATCTCCATCCAAGCCCTAATCGTGTCCATCCCTGCTAAGCCTTTATATCTTACGCCTAAAACTCTTCACTGAGTGATTGTCTAGTTGGCAGCTCAGCATCTAGGAGGTCTATCCAAGGCCGTTTAGGTCTTCTATATGTTAATTCTCATGAATGGGATCCGTCTAAGCTATGGTAGCATGTGCCTGCACCTGGGCTGGAGAAGTACATCTTTGAAATCTCAACTATGTGGCCTAAGCAGGACATTGCGCATATGTTTATTTGAAAGCAGACTGGGCTGCTCTTTAGGAGTTGGCTGGTCAAAGACTGGAGGAGTTTGCGGGTGCTCTTACGCTTTGACTGCACAGCTAGGAAACAAGTTGCACTTTTCTCACAATCCTGAGAGTAGCGTTTAGTTGCTGAGTGGCTGTTATGGTGACCTCTGCCCACATTCACTTATTTGTCTGCAATACTGATTTGCAACTGGTTGTAGAAGTTTTTGAGGGTATGAATGTCTGTGTGAGCTAAAGTCTCTATTTAAAAGCAGATAAATACATCCCTTCTCCCAAGAAATTGCAGTGGACATAACTGGGGAAAAGAAAGGCTGTTTTCACGACCCTTTGTCTTCTTTGGGGAAGAGAGTGTTTGCCAATTTAGTAGAGAGTGTAGTTTCACTTGATATTCCTTGAGATATATCTGTGGGTTGACCATAGGTCACCAGCATGCTTCATCAGCAAAGGGATTTTTGCTTCACCAAGTATTGTTGTGAGGAAGTCTCTGGGAGGAAATTAGTAAATTTGCTTGAGAAGGGAATAGTACCTTGATTTATACTGAAGGGCGTGTGCAACTCTGGAACAAACCATTTTGGAGATACGTGTGAAATCTGTATCAAAGTGGCACCCAGACAACCGGAGTGCTTTAGATTTTGAGGAGGGCAAACTTGAGTTTAAGTCCTGTGGACTGAGATCTTTTCCTTCAGGCTGGTGGGTGAAATGTGTAGTCTGCTTCACCTGGAGGCCTCGAGGCTGCAGAAGGAGGACAGGTGCTGAAGCAGCAGTGAGTCTCAGGCACCTGGAACCACAAAGTGCCCGTCAAGCCAGGAAGCTGCGTGGACTGCAAAACAAACCCCTCCCAGCTTTCACCATGGCAACCAGGGTACCTGTGAGTCGGGGAGGAGGAGAGGAAAAATCAGACAGGGTAAGTTGGGAGGGGGAGGCAGGATGGGAGGCTGGTATAGTTTTGAAATTGCTTTGGAACGGGATGAGTTGTGCAGGGAGGAAGAAGGCAGTTCCAATAGAAAAAAACCGTATGTAGCCACCAGGAACCATGCCAAAGAGGGAATTATGCTCCAGAACGACTAGTGGCA